CATCAGAGGCTGTCATCTTCTAATGCAAGGCTCCTAGTATGAGTCCTCCTCTTCTTGATTAACTTCTTCATTCTGCTGGAGTGTACGCTCAAATAGCTTTCTATGAAGAGAAATGGGGTTTAGGCTTTGACAGTCTTTAATTCTTGGAAATACGTGCTTTCTTCTCTCGTGTTTAACCAATAGTTCATCTTTTAGAAAACTGTAAGTTCAAAAACAGTTTCCTCTGATCTTCAAAGGCCGTTTTATCTATTCTAGCCTATTATGATTTTGTTTATTTATAGAAAATTAATTTTATTTTGAGAAGGAGGTTTCAAGTTTTTCTTTATTTTGTGCATTTAAAAGTTTATAAATTTATGTTATGGAATGAGAATTTTCATTGGACTGCATTTCATGCATGCTTTCAATCTGCATACTCAGATCCATAGAGGGCTTTGAAATATTCTCTTTAATTATTTATTTGGCTATTTTTCCTTTTTATTTTTTTTCTCCTCTTTTGGGAATGTCCTAATTAAAAATTATACTATCTGGGTTGCTATATCCTTACCTTTTATGTGCTGCATATTTTAAATATCAAATTAAAGCATTTTATTAAATTATTTCTCAATCCAGACAGATTTAGCATGACTTTGCTTGTAATTGCACATCAAGTAATGTGCACTTACTGTAGCAGCATTAATGAATATATATATACATATATATATGCATCACTTTGGGTGTGATTTGATCAAAGCTCTCTTTCATTCTCCTAGCATTAGATTCATTAATATCAACACTTAGAACTTATTTGGGTACATTTTTTAGTGTTCTTGCCCTGTATGACATTAATACAGGGCAAGAAGACCTGAATCTTTATTTTATCTATGAATAGAACAATTGTAAAAACTGGGATGCATTACCAAAGTTAAATTTTCTCCAATAGATAAGCCTATTTTAAATATGGTAAACTATGTTACTATAACATTATCAAACAAAACAGTCCACACATATCTAATAGATCAACATGGATTAAAATGTCCAAGATTATTTTGAAATATTCAATTATTGTGCATTTAAAAAAACATAAACAGTACATCAAAGGAATTAAAGCCTTCATATTATATACCTCCACGGAGGCCACGCACACACATGCCTAGGCACACTCCAAAGAGCATGCAGGTCAGTGCTTTATGAAGTGGTATCCAATGGTAGTGAGAAAATCATACGAGAAAACATTTTCTTTACTAAATATGTGTGTAGCTCACTAAAGTCAAACCCTTTTAAAGATTTTTCAAGGACTAGAAAGTGAGTATTAAGTTTACTTCTCAGAAGTCTCCTGGGTTTTGCAAAGGATTTGTGTTGAAACATTAATCTAAACTTCAGGCAGACTTACCTTCTCTTCACAAAATATTTATGAAGAAGAGCTCATTCACATCTTGGCTTTTATGATAATATATATATATATATATATATATATATATATATATATATATTTGTTACAGGAAAAAGAGAAGTCTTTGAGTCTTTGTTTTAAATTTCTTTCTGTAGATACGGCTAAGATAATATTATTTTTGACCAAGCATCTTTGACAGAAGACATCAGTAGCAACTAACAATGCAATCTTTTGATGCAAGAGGCACCTTTTAGGTTAAGATCGAGAGTAAAACAATCAAAGTGATTCTGCCAGCAGATATTAAATACTTTGTGAACTGTTTTGGTTAACTTCAGAGAGACTGCAAAGAATAAAACAGAAAAAACTCCAACAAAATAGATTATAGCCCTATATTTTACATCCTTGGTAAACGTGCTGCTGAGATAATGACACTCTTTTAGTACTTATGACTGGGGTAGTATTCTGGGACATAAATAAAGATAATTGGTTTTATAAAAATTCTCATTTTATAGAAAAACATTCTGAGGCTTGAGGAAATTAATTTGCATGAGGAGAAATAGTACCAGAAATAGTAAAGAGCTGTATTATCTGACTTGTGAACCATAAAATGTTCAGTATAAACTAAATGTTGAAATAACATTAATTTGGATACCTGGTCACCATTTGTACAAAACTTAGACAAGAATTTAATGATGATTTTTCATTTTTTTTTTCTTTTCTTTTTTTAATCAGTACCGGGGATCGAATTCATGACTGCCTGCTTCCAAGACAGGTGCTTATGCCGCTGAGCTAAATCCCCAGCCCTATTTTTCATTATTTATAGACTTCTTCTGAAGATTTTCTTATAATGGGTACATTCCTTTTTTTTTTTTTTTTTTTTTTTTTTTTTGTACCAAGAACTGAACTCAGGACCTTGTGCTTAGCATGCAGGCACTTGTGCTGCTGATCCACATCCCAGGACCTACACTGCTTTTCTTGTAAATTGCTTGGTAAGCAATTAATTCTGGTCTACTTGGCTTAGGAAATAGGTAATATCTTTTAATTTCTGATTGTTGATGCAACTCTTAGCTTTTTAATTTTTTTTTTTTTTGTCTTTTTGAGATGTGGTCTCACTGTGCAGTTCAAGCTGGCCTTGGACTCATTTTGTAGCCCAGGCTGTACTCGAACTTCCATTGACTCTCCTGCTTCAGCCTCCCAAGTATTGGGATTACAGGAGTGTACCAGTATGTCTGGTTTTAAATACACTTATAGTGGCCAGTTTACTGTTATTGTCATTAGGCCTACACTGCTTATAAAATATTGACCAGCAAAAAGAAAAAAACACCCGAAAGTGTAATAGTCCTAGGCATACACTTTTTTCCAAAATTCAGCTACAATATACCACATTATTTCTCTTCCATAAAACTCCATTTCAGTGTTCCTTGAGATAAAGAAGCAGGGTTTAGAAATTTAGGTAATACTGAGGTAATTACTGTGTAACATTTTTATGAATTGTGTCCCCCACGCATCATGCAGTTATAGGTGGGGCTTCTCAGAGGTGACTGGATCTAGAGTGGGGGGTGCTGAGATTAAGGGTATGGTAATAAGATCTATGGGAGCAATAAAACCTCAAATGTGTAAATTTTGTTGTAATAAAGAGAGGAAAAAAGTGCCCTAAAGGATACAACAGCAAGTGTGTTTAGGTGTGTTAAGTAGATGACCATATTAATATTTTTCTTTGGATCATTGAACACAACTATTTGCAGTCTCACTGTTTGAATGTTCGCTTTGTATGCTTTGATCCTGTGACCTGAATCACTGTTTCAAAGATGATAGTGTGTAATCTATTAACTGGTGATAGCTTACTGTTTTTTTTTTTTTTTTTGTAGTTCTGTATTACTTGTACCCTTACACTGTTTTGTTTTGTTCTGTTTTTTTCTCTTTTTCCTTTTAAATAAAATTTTTTTTAAAAAAGGGTATGATTAGTAAATCAGCGTGCTGACTGGTGTGGCACAGTTCTGGGTGTGGACAGTGGGAGGACGGGCCTGAGTGTGGGTTGTGGCACCCAAACGGTGGACAGGCAGGCTGCTGCTGCTTAGTGCTCTGCCACCGTACTACCCTCGGCCTGCCATGGACTCTGTCATGGCACCGTGCCCTGGAGTCAGCCAACAACTAACTGAAACACTTACAAACTATGAGCTACCATAGACCTTTCCTCCTTTAACTTTGGGTGTCTGGTATTTTGTCTCAGCTATGAGAAATAGTTACCAAGATGAATATTTGTCATCATATTACTAAAGCAAAATACTCAGTGACACCTGTTAAAGCACAGTAAAGAAGATTTTATCCAGACGGGGCCATTGCGGTGGGTATAGAGATTATCACAATTGGGTCTGAAGTTTTGGAGAAAGATCTGGCTTAACTTTTAAAACAGCATGAACAAAAAAGAATTTACAATCAGGGATTAGAGTGGAAATCAGTGGATGAAAAATTACTGTAAGAAAACTTCAGGAGGAAGAGAGACTCCTGTTAAACTGACCTAACAGGACTTCTTCTGACGGCAAGGTGGGTGATCATGGTTGTCTGGAGAATGGAGTAGGATGAGGAATTTTATCCAATATCAAGGATGAAAGGTGCCCCTGAAACTGACTTAACAAAGTCCTTGCTAAAAATGGATGTTGCAGACTTGAGGAGGGAAATTCTAAAGTCAGGTCTATTTGAAATAGAGCTCAAAGGAGCCAGAGTACTATGGTTAGTCTCTTGTCAAGACCCTTTCTTGGGTAACGGACTGCTTCTCTAGTAACTGCTTTATATTTGGTGACTTGGGTAGGGGAAGGTAACCATGAGAGTAAGGGCTCCAAACAGGAACAGTCAGCAAAAATTTATTTTCTTTGCAGATATGCATCAGTCACACTAAAGTTTCCCAAACTGTAAAACAAGTTTTTCTCCAACTTACTCCCCTTAACTTAAACCACTGATCAGTGAAGTAGTCAAGATGCTACCCAGAACAACACTCACAAGAAAACAGCCCCAGTATCATTTCTGAATTTAGACTAGGACACTAGTCAGGAAGGACCAATGCAGAGAGGCTAAAGAGAGTTATTTGTTGACTTTTTCTAGATACATTTTGATTACTGATGCTTGTTTCCTTCTAGAAAAATGCCATCCATCTTTGTTCCGTTTTTGAGAGACCATTTTCCTCTGTCTCTTACTTGTTGACTATATTTTGTGGTCATAATAATCAGGCGGTCTCTAATTGATTTCCAATCAATATAGTGTATGTTAAGTGAAAATTGCTTTTCAAGTGTTAAAATATTTTTTCAACTATACTATTAATATTGAAATGTTCTACTTTGTTTGAAATACATAATTATGCAAGAAAGTCTTTTAATGATGCATAATATTTGCACATTTTTATGGGTACTGTAGAAGTCCATACAATGGGAAACATTCCAGTCACAGTACTAATCACTTCCAGTGTTAATTATTTCTGTGTGCTAGGAACTGTCATTAAGGAACCAGTTCTCAAAGTCTGTATATTGGTGACTAGAATCTAGAGATAAAACATGAATGATATTTTATCCATACAAAAGATTCATCGTTAGAAATGGGTGATCACTTCTAACAGTTGTAACTCTTGCCCAACACACAGGTGCCTGGATTTCAACCCTCTGGTTTGTGACTGCAATTTAAAGTGGCTGAGGAAAATTTTACAAGACTATGCCCAAAATGGCCCAGCTCAGGTGTCTGCTATTTGTGAATCCCCCCGAAGACTTCATGTCTCTGTTGCTTCAGTAACACTTAAGGAATTTAATTATGGTATGTAATTTTCTCTGAGTATATAAAAATAAATGTTTTCTGCTTATCTTCTGTAAAGGTTCATTATATGGTACTGCATTTGAAAGAGCACATCACTAAGAATGTTTTTAGGAGGTTTAGTTAAAAGTACAACCAATTTTCTTTTTGTCATCTGCAGCTAAGGAAATATTTTTCATCAGAAACCAAGTTTTGGAAAAGTTCTTAAGTACCATGTAACCAAATCTTTATAATTTCAGAGGAAATATCTTAAGAAAAATGATTTTCATGAGAAGCAGTGTTCAGCATTAAGATCTCCCCTTATATCTCAGTACCATTTGGTGCTAATTGTCAATAATTTTTGTTTTTCAATTTTAGACCAAAGATTGCTAGTATTCACTGTTAAGAAAAATAATTTATCAAGTCCAGTAAGTGGTGGGTTTTTTTTTACATTCACTGAGTCCATGTAAATGACCACAGTAGTTAAAATCAGTTTTACTATCTGTTTAAATTCTTAAATTATGCAATGCACATTTTGGATTATTAAGCCTGTGTGCATATTCTGACAACTTTAATGAAGCAATTCAGCTTTATTTAAAGAACTGATTATAGCAGCTTAGGATGTTACTCAATTTTCATTTTAAGTTTTAAACAAATGTGAAACTACGTTCCTGTATGCCTTGATATATCCCTACATATAATTTTAAATAATAGTAGATACCTACACACATATGTACTTACACATGTATGTATGAGACAGACAGAATTCAGTTTTTTGGAAATTCACTCAGATGACTACTTAGAGAAGAAATTTACTTTTTATCCTTCTTTCCTGGTGAATCATTATCAAAATGTCTCTAATCAGATCATTTGAAAATTTATGTTGATATAATTCCTGTCCACCATATTGAGAAGTAAAGTACACTGGGCTCCATTGCCAGGCAGCTCTCAGACTTGTCTCCAGCTTCCATTCTCCACATCTCCAGCTCACGTCAGCAGCAGGTTTACCTAGATGGTGTTACCTCTTAGCTGATGCTTCTGCTTTCATTTTTTCCCTTCAATCTATTATTTTGGAGAATCTTCTAAAAACACGTGTAATTGTACATTTCTTCTATTTACCCCTTCCTTGCATAAAATAAAACACACCATCCCTCATGTAATCAGTACATCTGTTGACTGGTTCCAGCCCACGCTGGCAATTACTGCTCCTTCTCTTCTCCCCTTCCTTACTTAGCTACGTATCTGGCGCAGCTGCCATGACGTCTCTACATTTTTGGAAGTTCTTAAGCCCCTTTCCCACTCAGGGAACTCACGCATGCTGTTTGCTCCTCACACAATATTTTTTATGTATTGAATAAATTTATATTTTTGTAGTACATGTTTGTATTATACAGTGCATTTATTGTGAGTAGTTAATGCATGTACATGATCCATCTTAATTATTTTCTTAATCCCATTTCCTCTCCCCAGTATTCTCTTGCACCCCTTCTTTTCATACCCTTCTTCATAAATACTAACTACTTGGAAAGACTGTATTTACGTCTTTTTCCCATCCAGTTCCCTGTACTCAGAAACTGAGTCAAATATCTACTTATAATCATCACATATAATTTATTTTCCATTTTAGTATGTATCTCAATTTGTTATTAAATATTTTATATGTTCATTTAGTTTCAGCTTCTTCAATGAACCTATAAATTCATGGAGACAGAGACTGTGTCTCTACATCACAGTCTTACCATGGTGCCTCACTCATTGTTGATGTTGAATTGTTTTTTAAATAAATAGCCAAATAAACAAAACCACTCTTATAAAAAAGATAAAGCCAAAATGTTGATCATATGGACTTTTTAATAAAATAGATGAGATTATTAAGGATCTGAGTAATGTAATAATAGGTAAATTACTAAAGATAGAAAATCTGAAATAGGTAATCACAGTCCCCCATTACATTGCTTTGAAGCCTTATAATGTTTTCATTCATTAGTTGGAATGTTTTATTCTGTTTTGTTTGATTTTATTGTGTGTGATGGTATGAACAGCTATTTTGAAGAAAACAAGACATTATGACAGCCATTGATGATTTACTATCATCTTGCTTTGAGGTCCTACCATGCTTTTGTTCTTTTGTTTCCATTGGTTCTATCATGTTGTATCTTATTGGATTTTAATATGTGTGATAATATAGTAGCCACTGTTTATTTTCTGTTATTTGGTTCTGAATGCCCTGTAATACTTTCATTCTCTTGAATGTTTTTATATTATTTTGTTAGGTTTGATACTATTGTATGTGAAGGTATGCTCAACTATTTCAAAGCAAGAACCATTATGGTAGCTACCGTTAATACTGGGCTGTCTTGAGATGAAGTGCTGTGTTGCTTACATAGTTCTGTTCTGATCTGCTTTGTTCTGTCCTTGTTTGTCTTAATCTTTTTAAAATAAAACTTAAAAATAAAATCTCAAATAATTCATTTACAAAAGCAAGAATTTTTTCATATAGGAAAGTTTTGACAAAATTAAGTAAAATATACTATGAAGAGTAAAGTCTTTTTTTGTACATTGCTCTCTAATATTTAAGTTGAGTAATATCTTGTGCTTTAAAATGACTCCAGTTTCCTATTAAAATTTAAAACATTCCTTGATTTATCACTTAATTCTTATTATTTTAGCATGGTATCATTTGCTTATATTAAAAGTAGTTTTGCTTGGCCAGGTTGGGTATCTCGATGCATACGTTTTTAAAATTATTTAAAGTACTTAGATGACTAATTGCCTAGGGATAGTACCTATGAAATTGCAAGCTTGATTTAAGTAGTTGGTTTGAAAATCTAATCCATAAAAATTAAACTTCTTCATAAATAGGACTAAATTGAATTATTAGGTGCAGGAACACAGGTAGATTTACTTTTCTGGAGATCTTTTATGTGGTGAACATTTCAAATTGCTAAAGTTTAAATTGAATATGTCTCATGGTTAAATGGATACAAGTTTACTAAGTAAATGCAATTCAATAAGAACAACTTTAATACAGAAAAAATAGCTATAACTCTTTGTGTTTATAATGTATTAAAATGTTATACTTTGGTAATTTAAAAATTACTAATTCTTTTTTTTTAATAGAAAGTGCTTGAATCACCTTTGCACCTCATGATGTGGAGGTAACATCAGGAAATACTGTCTACTTCACTTGCCGAGCTGAAGGAAACGCTATAGCCAAAATCACCTGGATAGATAATAAGTAAATACTGTACTGAACATGGGCATGTGTTGTAATTCTCATTTCAGTAATCCTTTTGTCTTACTTCAGATCCTTTGTCTAGAGAAATATTACCAGAATTATTAGAATTTATTAGAGACAAAAATGCCTCTTAGCTGTTAGCTTTTTAAAAATTTTATTATTTTTTTATTTTATAAAATAAGAATAAAAATGATGATACAGAATTCAAAACAAAATAATAGGAGATTAACAATGGTTAATATATGGTATATTGTTACCTTCAAAGTAGTTTCTTAGATTGTAATATGTAGACATGAAAGATTGATCAAATAATGAAAGCACAAATGATAGATACTGATAGATTATATTACTAGTCTTTATTAGTTGATCACAAACAATATATATATATATATATATATATATATATATATATATGTGTGTGTATGTATTTTTTCCTTCTTTCTTTTCTCTTTCCCCTCATCTCAGTTGTTTTTCCCTTTTGAGCAGTTTCTTCCTCTTTCACTTTCACAATATCTGTAATGTATTTTTGGCTCTTATTTATTCTTTCAGTTTTTTACACTAGAGAAACAATACGATGTTTACACATGCAATTCGAATTTATTTTACCTGTTAGTTTTTTTTTAATTAAATAATTTTTTAATTAATAAGGGAGAGGATGAGATAAAAGGGGACATAACAACATAACAATACAGGTTAAACTATGACACTTTCAGCAACCTAGTGCTTCACCACCAAATAACCCGACTTAATAGTAGTTACCATAGAGTCTTTTTCTTTGAAATATTTGAATATAACTTCATATGCTATAGCATCAAACATATCAAGACTGTGTAACACCATTCAAGTGATGAAAGCATTGTAGAGTATTTAGAACCAGCTAACAGAATAAATCATCAATTGTTTCTATATTATCTCTTTGCCTATAACAATACTTGTTTATACTACCACATACGATAAAATCCAGCAAGTTACAACATAATAAAATCAGTGAGAGACAGAAGAGCCATAGTTTGGTGTGGCTTTAAGACAAGATGGTATTAAATCAGCACTAGCTATCATGATGTCTTATTTTCTTCAAAGTAGCTGTTCTTTGCATCACAGGCCATAATATCAAACAGCCCAGAATAAAGCCATTCCAATTAATGAGTGAATATTTTATAAGGCTTCAAGGCCACATAACGGGGAATCATGGTTATCACGTACTTTTATATATTTGGATCATTTCCTACACTAGGGAAACTATTCGGTGTTCACAGATGCGAGTTTGATTTAGTTCACTTATGAGTATGGTTTCAAGCTGTGCCCATTTATTGATAAATACCTCAATGTGATCCTTCTTTATAGCTGAGTAGTACTCCATTGTATAGAAATACCACAGCTTTTTTATCCATTCCTCAGTTGATGGATATTTGGGTTGTTTCCAAGATCTGGCAATTACAAATCGTGCTGCTATAAACATAGGTGTGCATAATCACTGTGGTATGATGCTTTCAGTTCTTCTGGGAAGATGTCTAGAAGTGGAATAGCTGGAACAAATGGGACTTCCAATCCCAGCTTTTTGAGAAATCTCCAGACTGACCTCCACAAAGGTTGTACCATTGTACACTCCCACCAACAGTGTAGGAGAGTTCCTTTTTCCCCACAGCCTCTCCAGCACTTGTTGTTGTTGGTTTTCTTGATCCTGGCCATCCTTTCAGGAGTGAGATGGAATCTCAGTGTGGTTTTAATTTGCATTTCCCTAATAACCAATGATGATGAACATTTTTCATGTATTTATTTGCCATTTGTATTTCTTCCTCTGAGAAGTGTGTATTCATCTCAGATGCCCATTTTTGGATTGGGTCTTTGAATTTTGGGGGTCTGTTTTTTTTTAATTCTTTATATGTTTTAGACAAAAGTCCTTTGTCTGAGGGGGAATTCACTAAGATCCTTTCCCAATTTGTGGGTTTTCTTTTCGCTATGCTGGAGATTTTTTTTGATCTTACTTACAGAAAGTTAAATTAAAAAGTTACTTACAGAAACTTTTTAATAAGAGGTGGTCCCAGTTATTGATTCCGGGAAGTATTTCCCATGCAGTTTGAGTCCTGTTCATGAATTCTCTACCTACCCCTATGTCTTCAAGGTTTCTACCTAATTTGTCTTCCAATAGATTTAGTGTTTCTGTTTTAATATTCAGATCTTTGATCCATTTAGATTTTAATTTAGTACATGATGATTCGCTTGGGTTGAGTTTTAGTTTTTGGCATTGGAGAGCCAGTTTTTCCAACACCATTTATTAAAAAGACTGTTGTTTTTCCAGTGAACCTGCTTGGCTCCTTTATCGAAGATAAGGTGGTTGAGTGTGTTTGTAGATGTGGTTGTATCTTCTAATCTATTCCATTGATCCTCTGCTCTGTTGTGATTCCAGTACGATGTTGATTTTACTACTGTTGCTTTGTAGTATAACTTCAAGTCAGGGATTGTGATGCCTCCTGCCTTGCCTTTGGTGCTTAGAATTGCCTTTGATATTCTAGGTCTCTTCAGGTTCCAGATGAACCATAGGAGTGATTTCTCTAGATCTATAAGGTATGTTGATAATATTTTTATTGGAGTTGCATTGAATCTGTATAACAGTTTTGGGAGAATGGCCATTTTCACAATGTTTATTCTTCCTATCCATGAACATGGGATGTCTTTCCATTTTCTGAGATTATCTTCAATTTATTCTTTCAGTGTATTATAATTTTCCCTGTATAGGTCTTTCACTTCTTTCATAAGAATAATTCCTAAATATTTCATTTTTTTGCTTGCTAGTGTGAAGAGTGTGGCTTCTCTTATTTCTCTCTCTGTGATTTTGTTGTTAGTGTATAAGAATGTTATTGATTTCTGAGTATTGATTTTGTACCCAGCTACATTACTGAATTTATTTATTATATCTAAGAGTCTTTCAATGGAGTTTAGGGGGTCTTCTATGTAGAGTATCATGTCATCTGCAAATAATGACAATTTAACTTCTTCTTTTCCTATCTTTACCCCTTTTATTTTTCTCTCTTGTCTAATTGCTCTGGCTAGTACTTCCAGTACTATATTAAATAGGAGAGGTGATAAAGGACATCCTTGTCTTGTGCCTGATTTTAAAGTAAAGGCTTTCAATTTTTGGCCATTTAGTATGATACTGGCTGTTGGTTTGTCATAGACAGCCTTTATTATATTGAAGTAAAGACCATCAATTCTAATTCTCTGTAACGTTCTTATCATGAAAGAATGTTGGACCTTATTGAAGGCTTTTTCTGCATCTATGGAAATGATCATGTGATTCTTACTTTTAGCTTTATTGATATGGTGGATTACATTTATTGATTTACATATGTTGAACCATCCCTGCATGCCTGGGATGAATCCCACTTGGTCATGGTGTATAATCTTCTTGATGATTTGCTACATCCTATTTGTCAATATTTTATTGAGGATTTTTGCATCTGTGTTCATTAGGGAGATTGGTCTGTAGTTCTCTTTTTCAGTTGGGTCTTTCTCAGGTTTTGGTACTAGAGTAATATTTGCTTCCAGGAATGACTTGGGAAGGATTGCTTCCGTTTCAATTTCATTGAAGAGTTTGAGGAGTGTCGGTATTAGGTCTTCTTTGTATTTCTTGTAGAATTCTGCAGTGAATCCATTTGGGCCTGGGCTCTTCTTTGTAGGTAAGGAATTAATTACATGTTCAATTTCATTGATAGAGATTGGGTTATTCAGCAGTTTTACATCCTCTTGATCTAGCTTTGGTACTTCATATGTTTCTAAGAATCTATTTCTTCTGTGTTATCAAACATTTGAGAGTAGAGGTTTTCAAAATAGGTGTTGATGATCTTCTGTATTTCTATTGAGTCTGTAGTGACTTCACCTTTTTCATTTCATATTCAATGGATTTGAGCTCTTTCTTACCTTTTTAAAATAAGGTTGGCTAGGGGTTTATCAATTTTATTTATTCTTTCAAAGAACCAACTTTTTGATTCCTTGATTCTTTGGATTGTTTTCTTAGTCTCTATTGCGTTGATTTCTGCTCTGATTTTTATAATTTCCTCTCTTCTTTTGGCTTTGGGCTTGACTTGCTCTTCTTTTTCTAGATGTTTGATGTGTAGCATCATGTTGTTTATTTGTATTCGTTCTGTTTTCCTGATGTGGGAGCTCAGTGCAATAAATTTTCCTCTGAGAATGGCTTTCATTGCATCCCATAGATTCCGGTAAGTTGTATCTGTATTTTCCTTTGTTTGTAGGTATTGCTTATTTTTTTTTAATTTCCTCTCTGACCCACTGGTTACTCAGGAGTGTGTTATTCAGTTTCCATGTGTTTGCAGGATTTTTGCAGTATCTTTTATTGTTAATTACTAATTTCATGGCGCTATGGTCCGATAGCATGCAAGGGATAATTTCAACTCTTTTGCATTTATTTAAATATGTTCTGTGAGTTAATATATGGTCTATTTTAGAGAATGACCCATGTACTGCTGAGAAGAATGTGTATTCTGTCATTGTTGGGTGGAATACTCTGTATATGTCTATGAAGTCCATTTGTTCACAGGTGCAATTCAGTTCTTTTATTTCTTTGTTGATTTTCTGTTTGATCTGTCCATTGGTGTCAATGGTGTTTTAAGATCTCCTGTCAGAATTGTGTTACTGCTGATTTGGTTTTTCATTTCTGTTAGTACTTGTTTTATATAATGGGGTGCTCTGGAATTTGGTGCATATATATTTAAGATAGTTATCTTTTCCTCTTGGAGTTTTCCCCTAACCAGTATGTAGTGACCTTCTTTATCCTTTCTGATCATTATTGGCTTGAAGTTGACTTTGTCTGCCAAAAGAATAGCTACCCCCGCTTTTTTTGGGGGGGGGTCCTGTTGCATGGAGTGTTGTTTTCCATCCTTTGACTTTGAGTCTGTGAGTATCCTTTTGAGTTAGGTGGGTTTCTTGTAGACAGCATATGGTTGGATTTTGTTTTTTGATCTATTCTGCCAGTCTGTTTCTTTTAATTGGTGTATTGAGACCATTTACATTAATAGTAAGAACTGCTATAAATTGGTTTATTGTTGACATATTATCTTTCTGCTGTTGCATGTTTATTTTTCTGCTCTGTTCAACTATCTGCTCTGTTTAGTGGTTTTTTCCTAAATGTATCTAGGCTGTCTTTCAGTATTCTTTGCAGGGTTGGCTTGTTGTTCATGAAGTTTTTCAGGTGATCTTTTTCATGGGAGTATCATATTTCTCCATCCAATTTGAAGGACAGTTTTGCAGGGTACATCAGCATAGGTTGGAAATCATTTTCCTTTAGGATCTGAAATACATCACTCCGTGCTCTTCTTGACTTTATTGTTTGTGCTGAGAAGTCTGCTGTATTTCTGATAAGTTTTCCTTTATAGGTGATCTGTCTTTTTTCTCTGACAGCCTTTAATATTCTATTCTTTTTTTCAATTTCTGGGATGGTCATTATTATATGTCTGGGTATAGATTTATTTTGGTTGTGACTATTTGGAGTTCTATATGCTTCATTGATCTTGATATCATTTCCAATCTCATGTTTGGGGAATTTTCAGCTATTACTTCTCTAAATATCCCCTTGACATCCTTTATGTTGTCCCCTTCTTTTTCATTTATCCCTATCAACCTTATATTGTTTCTCTTTGCGTCATCCTGTAGGTGTTGAATTGTTATTTCCTAATTTCTTGTTATTTTTAAAAGATCTTTTCTTTCCTGTTCACTTGTTGCAATCTTGTCTTTGAGGTCTGAGATTCTATCTTCACATTCATTGAGGTCGTTTTTACGACTTTCAATGGAGTTTTTGATTTCCTGTATATCTCTTTGCATCTGTTTTATGTATTCTGTTTGTTTCTGATATTGTTCATCCAGTGATTCTATCTTTTTGTTTAGTTCCTCCAATTTTTTAACTGCATCTTCTTTAGCTATGTTTAGCATCTGCTTCATTTCTTTTATCAATTCTTCTTTGATCTGAGTGAATATTTCTAGTTTGAATTCCTTTAAGGCTTCCCATACTTCCTTCTTTATTTCAGTTACCATTATTTCAGTCATGTGGCATGTGTTTTCTTCTATGCACATGGCTCCTGGGCTTTGTTGGGATGGGCTGGATGTTTGAGATTGCATTTTGGACTTTTGTCATTTTCTTTTATTTGGGAGCTTCAAGTGTTGTTCCAGGTGCAGGAGAGATCTCCCACCAGCCTGGGATGGGGTACCCTGCAATGGCCCCACTCACTGGACCCAGCAGGGACTTCTGGCCTGCTCCTCAGGCCAGGAAGAGTGTCTCCTCAGGCTGGGCAGAGCTCCCAGCTGCCACTGCCACAGTCTCTGATCTGGCCTGGTCCCTGGTCCGGTGGGGAACCGGCCTGGGTCCCCAGGTCAGGGAAAAAGTTCCCGCAGGTTGGGCAGAGCTCCCAGCTGCTGCTGTTACACTCACCCTTCCAGCCTGGTCTCTGGTCCAGTGGGGAGCCGGCTGGTTCCCAAGTGAGGGAGAAAGTTCCCATAGGCTGGGCGAAGCTCCCAGCCGCAGCTGCCACAGTCTCTGATCTGGCCTCTACCTGTTAGTTTTTGACCTGCTCAAAATATCTAGAAGATTTCTGTTTAATAATTATGTATTTTCAGACATTAATGATTCTGAAAACTATTTTGTATTCTTTCTGGAAACTATATTGAGATTCATAGCCAAATATGTTGTTTCAATTCTGAATATACTTTAACATAACTTCATATAAATTACTTGAGGTACAAAATGTTTCACAACTTGATATTGCAATATTCCTGACGTAAATAAGTGTTGAATTATGTAGGTGCACTAATGAAGGATATACAGGATTATAAAAATAAGTTATTTAACTCTTGTTTTGCTTTTTGATAACACATAGAGCCTATAACTCTAAAGAGCTGTGACTATAAAATTAACTAGTGATAATTAATCTTAAAAATTTTTTACATTGCTGAAAAGAATGTGTATGCAACATAAAATACATGCATAAATGAACTACATACATAATACAATTCAATAACTATTCTTAAACTTAATATTATTGATTCATTATGGTATTGATAACTAGCATGATTTTTGATAGAGTTATTTCCAAAAGATGAAAAATATTAACAAAAGATGAGAAATATAAAATAAAAAGCGGCCTTTATTCTGAGAACACAGAGAGAGATGACCGGCAACCCCACCGCTGGCGTCCTGCGATCTCTCCGACGGACATGTGGCGTGGGGGCCTGTAAATAGCCTCGGTTTGGGGTGGAACCTAAGGCGGACATTAGGGATACACAGGTAGCCCATTGGTCCTAGGTTTGGTGCCATATGTAAATTTCCAGGGGCGGGAAGATGGCGTCACAGGTAACTTCCTAGGGGCAGGGCAAGATGGGGCTTCCTGCTTCCGGTTGTGGCTTTCCTGGCTACAGTGTCCTGCCTGGGCCAAAACCTTTCAATTTTCATGTATCTTTTCCCTTGCATGAAATTCCATTGGTTTTCTTCTGTCATGTGTATAATCAACTCTGAATTTTCATGTTTTTCACTGGAATACTCTGAGAGGCAGTACAGTTTGCACACATTTTACATATAATTTACACTTCTAATTATAGTCAGAATCTGAGCTGATCCTGTTAGAGTATATTTTTAATTCTTGCAAAAAGTAGTAAATGTGGGTTAAAAATAGCTAGAGTAAATAAAATTTATGAATACCATTAAATCTGGAATGTAGCCCAGGATGAAGACCTCACCTGATGGAAAGATTTCAGTTTTGTTCCATTCTTGAAATTGTTCAGGAACACTTGAAAAGTAGAATTAATTTGCTCTTTGTTATTTCTTCTTAAAATGCCTTGCTCAGTCTTTATTCGTAGTTTGAATGCAAAAAAAAAAAAAAAAAAAGAAAAAGAAAAAGAAAAACTGACCCCCGTAGAAGCTGCTGTGGGATCCTTCTGTATCTCTATGCATTTTTCTACTCTTTAGTTAACTTCAATCCTGACTTTAGGGCCTTTAGAAAAATGGACTCAAAAATGATTAGACACAATCAAAAGTAGACTTGGAGGATTAGAAGATAGATTTATAGAAGTAAGCAGATTTTAAAGTGGCTCAGAGACATGGAAGAGTACACGTAAAGATCTAGCATATGCCCAGTGAGAATTCCAGAAAGAAAGATTACAAATGATCAAAGTGAAATGTCTGAAGAGGTAACAACTAGAAATTTTCTAGAAATAAAAAATGAAATACGGAAGATTGACAGACAAATATGTATAACTACAAAGTCATACTAATCTAGATGATGATAATACAGCAATATTAATATATACTAAAACTACCTTCAAAGAAAATGTGTAATTCCTTATAAATAGGTCATATTAAATAATGAAAGGATGAAATTCTTCTGGATATAAGTCTGATAAACTTTACTTTGGTTAATGCAATAACTGCCAGTTTTGAAAAAGAAAAGAAAAAATAATTAACTAAAATCACAAGGTTAAATGAGCGCAAACCCAATTGCAGTGAGAAATCTTATTATTTTTCAGAAGGATTACAGTGAAAATTAGGTGTATTCAACCATTGCCAAGAATCCTAATGGCACACACCTGTATGTATAGACCAACATTTGAGTGTATGTATCTATCTATATCTGCTACATTAAAAGCTAAAATATATATTTTCAACCAACTTTAGAATATCTACCAAGATTGAGCATATATAAAGGCACAAAATCTCATATCCATAGCAGAGAATCAGTTTAATTAAGATCTTGTCTTGGTTCATTTCCAATTACTAATAACAATGCCGTAGGCTTCCAGGCCAAAGTCTGAATTGCAATTGGCTGCATCTCTTGATGGTCTTCTTACTGACAGCGTCCCTGAGAAAGTGCAGGGAATCCCATGACAGGGGCATGAGAGATTTGGTCAAACTAAACTTTATAGCATGCCTGCTCTGAAGATAAGCCATTAATCAACTGGATTTATTCACCTATTAGTCTCTTTCATCCCATTCGTACTGTGAAATGCTAATTACCTCTGAAAGTTCTCATTCTTACTTTTTAATATATCATTGTAGAGATTAAATTCTAATATGAATTTGAAGGGAAAAAAAACTTAGTAAAGTCATAGCTGGTCCATTTCTTTGATCATAATTTGGTAAAAAAAAAAAAAAAGACATAAGCCATTTAACGTGATTTTTGAAATTCTTTAGGTTTGTCCTCAGAAGTGTTTGCCAGCACCGAAGAATAGCACTCATTATATAGTTCTTAATTGATTGGATGATGTCAGGGAAGTACTTCAGGATGAACATAGGCACAAGCTGGAAATGAACAAAACTAGCTTCAGGGAACAAGGTTCACCTTATTTAGGAAAACAAAGGATTTTTATCTCAGAGAGAAAGAGAGAGAGAGAGAGTGAGAAAAATGATTTCAGAATGACTGAAAAGCTAATGACTCTTGTTTGCACATTATAATATTTGAGAATTGTTGGAAGACACACAGCAAGACAGAGAAAGAGATTTTTAAATCAGGAACTTTTTTTTCTTAATGTTAAGTTTCTAGAACATGGAAATTCCAGCCACTCTAAAGAAATTTAAATTCTGTGGTGTATATTATTATGGAATAAAGCAGATTGCAGGCAGCCATTGCAATTATATTTTAACTTGTGGTTGAAGATGACTCTGTATATGGTGAATATTTATAATTTGTGTGATAACATAGTCATATTTTTAGTGCTTTGGTAGCAATTAGTTTTTAGCAGGCATTTAAAAATTTCATTGATAGTTCTTCATTAAATCAAATGTGCTTATTTACATGTTTTTGAAAGAAATCTACCCTATTTTTACAAATCTTTGTGTTTTTTAAACTTTGTATTTTTACATATGATTACTATCCAGTTTATATCAGGCTAACAATGTGAAAGGAATATTTTATACTGTGCAGACTTGTTTTGCTTCTTAGAGTAATATGATTCATTAGCATAAAATTTTTGTGAGTATAATGCAGAAGACACGAACAAAGAGGGGAATGAACAATGTATCTTAAATGTATGGTGTGATGTGCTGATGACCATTTTATATCATCTTATCATGGTGCATCTTGGTGTATTCTACTGCATTGTCTAGCCCGACGACAGATATCATGGGCACTTCTGGTGGCCTTTGACGTTTAAGATGCTAAGTGTTAGAACAATATTAAACTAATTCACCTTTTGAACTTACAGTTCCATTATTGTTCCCATATTTCTTGGCAGGTGGTCTTAATTTGGCTCAATGACGTGCAACTTTAGAATCACATTTAAAATAATTAATTCATTCAGTGTTGTATGATCCTTTTGAATCATGCTTTCTGATATTTATACCATGCTATGTATATAGAGTAGCTGTGGAATCTTACACTGAAGAGGATACTTAGCTTTTTCTTTCTTGGACCGTCACTTGCACTGAGAGGCCGTTCGAAGCAATGCCTTTTCTGAAAAAAAACAAATCTCTTCACACAGGACCACTAGAAGACCTCCTTTGTCTCATCGCTGCTTTTCCTTCACATCAGGCCTTTCCATTTGATAGTTGAATAACATTCTGTCTTTCCTGTTATCTGTCTTCTGTTCCACCCTAAAACATGAATGGCAGCTGAGTGATGGCACGTGCCTATAATTTTGGCACCCGTTAGGTGAGGCAAGAGGATTGTGTATTCCACATTCAAAATAAAAGGTGAAACAGGGTCATCGTCTACTTCTTTTTTTGTGTTCTATGACAAAAATCATTGAATAAGGATGCCGATTGCTCTCTGGTGTACTTTACTATTTTTACATATACAAGAATAGGGCAGCTATTCAGGATTACCTGGAACACCTTGACTATATAAAACTAACAAAGGAAAAGCTATATGATTCTTCCAATGGACCGTTTCCTCTATGAAGGGTACTTTTCACTGGTGATACATCATAGGTGTTTAATGAATGTTCACTGAGTGATAAATGATGGAAGGAAATTTTTCTTTTTCATGCAGAATGCATTGATTAGTATTAAGCATACTTGCTTAAGTACCTATGTGCCCTCTCACACATGATCATTAAATATTTCTGAAGCAAAAAAATCTTGATCAGAAAGAATATTTTGCAGAAACTTCTAATGTATGTTTTTGTGTCAGTAGCTTTGTATTTATTGCTAAAATAAAACCATTCCCTTGCCTGTGAGTATTGGTGTAATGTGATGATACATGCCTGAACCTACTTGTACTCAGTGAATTATTCATTTAATTGAGAAATTATATTTTCCTAGTATATAAAAATGGTCCACATCGATTTGGGCATAATTTCCAATAACTGAATATGTGGAGGTATGGTTATTTAATACTAAGAGATACAAACATATAATTTTACTGGGCTTGGACACACATTGCTTTGAATGCAAATATTTCTTTATCACTTTAACAAAATATGAAAATATATTGAATGATTCACAGGAAAGAGGTGAGATGCTTGCCCGTCACCACATGATGATTCCTTTTTTTAAAAAAAAAGAAATTCAGCATTGTTCTAAGAAAGCAGAGTATTTGAATATCCTTCCCCTTCTCATGTATTCATGTTCAGGTTATACTTAGAAAACTAGAATTTAGAGTAAAGAAATTTGAATTATTTAGATTGTAAAAATAAATTAACACATAAATCGTTTATAAAGTATGCTGTACTCAGTCTCATTAAAGTTTTAAGTATGAAAGGGATTAAATATGAAGGGGAGTAAGTAATAAATATGTAGATCTCATTTCCAGCCATTCATTGCGTTTGGAAGATGCCACTCCACCTAACATGTTTGACGATGGAACACTAATGATCCAGAACACCAGAGAGTCAGACCAAGGTTCTACCAGTGCATGGCCAGAAACTTGGCTGGAGAAGCCAAGATACACAATGCCATTCTCAAATACTCCAGTTCTCCAAGTGAGTTTTTGTTTGTTTCTGGTTGAACTTAATATAAGCGCATCAGTTATCAATTAGTAGAAATTTACAGTAGAAAATGATTGAGACTTTTTGTGACTGGCTTTAGGGAAAATAGAACTAACATTTTTCCTTTTGAAGTTTATTTTGTGTATTGAAAATATGGACATTTTGTCTTAGTTATTTTCTTGTCACTGTGACACAGTATCCAACACCTGCAGTTTATAGGAGGAGAGCTTTATCTGGGCACAGAGCTTTTGGAGGTTTTAGTCCGTAGTTGGCTGGCTCCTGAGCAGAGCAGTGTGGCAGAGGCCATTGCAGAGAAGAAAGAGTCCCATGAGGTTATGGGGAAGAGAGAGAGGAATTAGAGGAGGTGGGAGGGTGAGGTGCCTTTCCAGGCTACATCTCCAGTTCTCCCCCAATCAGGCTTCATTTCTCAAAATCACATTGGTTGTAAACTAATCAGTAGACTAATCTACTGGTGAATATCACACACCCATGATCCTAGCAGCTCCCAAAAAACTCATCAATAAGCACTTGAGGTTTTGGGAGGCATCTGGATATAAACCATAACACACACATACACATACACACATATTTTTGGCAGTGTTAGGAATCGAGCGTAGGACTCCTGCACAGTATTCAAACACTTCTCACTGACCTACACCTTCAACCCTTTAATTTCCCGCATTTGTTCTATTTTTTCCAGCACTCTACAGGCATGACTCCATGACTCCCAGACTGTGTTATTATCAGTTTAATTGCACCTCTAGCTTTCCAGTATTCTGAAGCAGAGTGGACCTGTTGCACGCAGGCAGCAGTATTATCCTTTTCAGAAATTTAGTCTATCCGACATTCATATGCCTACATTATAAACATACATTTGTGCCAGCTGAACTAACATTGAGAATCACATATCCCTTTACCTCTCAATAAGCTTTGTTATAATTTCAATGAGTTATGTAGGAAATTATGGTAACTGTGCCTCCCCATTAATGTCACTACAAGATTTGTAAATAAACTGGGCATGGTGGCACACTCCTGCAAACACAGCACTCAGGAGGTTAAGGCGGGAGGATCACTGTGAGTTTAAGGTCAGCCTGAATCATATAGTGAGACTCTGAAACAAATGATCAAACATTTAGAAATACATTGTCTCTTGTCTTCGGAGAGTATAGTCTATGAGGCAGTAGCCATATTTCAGTGAAATGTTAAGTTTTGGGATGTGTTAGGAGAGTGGGTGGAAGCGTAGGTCACGGTTTTATGCTAGAAAATGTTCCAAAACTGGGTCTGAGGTGTGCAGACCTTTGATTTGCAGCGTTTGCCCATTTCTATAAGACTAATAATCCCTCTGGGGCTAATTTCCAATCTCCAACATAGCACTGAATGTGGAGCCGAAAAGAAATATGCAGGAGCTCACTATGATGCAGCTTTGCTATCATAAGGACATAAAAAACACAGATAATTTCAGGCTCATAGATCATAGAAAAATGCAGTAAAATAATGAGAAGTAATGAATTGTAAAATACAGCTTTGATGCTGAGATTTACTTAATCTTAAGGTTATGTAATTTAACTTTCAATAATGACTGCTAAAAGTCAATTTGCAGACGACTGAAAATTTGCTAACTGGTTGTCAAGAGCTAGGTCTAGCATATCACTTAGGAAAGGTGGCAACAGCAGATAAATCTGAGACCACTGGACAGTGTTATTAATAGCAACAGAGATAACAAACAAGATGAAATGAGAGAGGAAGCAGACTTAGAGAGTCCCGTGCGGTTGAGAAAGGCTTGTCCAGCAATGGTACATCTAAGCTGAAAGGAAGGACAAATAGGAGATAGAAAGATAAGTAGAGGCACAAGCAATGTGTTAGGAGATAGGAGGCTTAGGGGAGACAGAGATAGGAGGCTTGGGGAGTACCCAGGGACACCTAGAGCCCCACTGATTTGGGGAGGCACAAGGTGGCTTGGATTCTTCAGAGTATTTAATACTGACTTATGTAAGAGTTTCTTCCCGTGAGATCTCTGACAGCAGTTCACAAAACAAACAGGAGGACTCAGAATGATGAGGAAGTCAGCCGGCGACTGTTCCAGTGTGCCAGAGAGCCGGCCACAGCACAGAAAGGCAAAGCTAATGGGGAAAATGCATTGAATCAAGATTTACTCTGGCAGGAGAAAGCCTCTGCATTGGGGTTGACTAAATATGGGATTCCCTTTCCTAGTGTCTCATGACTTCTTTCTTATTATTAGTATGTTTTATGATACTAATAATTACCTTCATTTTGGGGAACGAGTAGCCATGCTTATCACACCTTGATAATTTTTACTTCTTTTCCACACTTTCCCATCTGCCTCCTTTCGCAGATCCCTCTTCCATCTCTGCAGAGTCCACCTCCATGGTGCCCATCATCCATCTTTTATTCTCTTTAAATTATATATATTTTGATTTTCTCATATAAGAAAAATCATGCAATAGTTCATCTTCTGTGTCCGACTTATTTCACTTAGCATTATAGTCTCAAAGTACATCCACTTTTTAATGATGAGTCAGACTTATCCTTCTTATGACTGAGTAGTACTTCTTAGAATTGCATATAACTATCACCTTTTCTTTATGCATCCATGTGTTAGCAGGCCTATAGGCTGCCTCCAACATTCAGCCATTAGGATTTGTGCTGCTATAAACATGGGTGTCAATGATAACACGATATCTTTAACTTTTTCAGTGTGTTGCCCAGAAGGGCTATGACTGGGTTTGAACAGAATTTCCATTTTTCTGCTTTTTCTTGAGGGATCTCTATACTCATTTCCACAGCGGCTGCCCTAGTGTACATTGCACCTACAGTATAGAAAGGTTCTAGTGGTGCATCCAGGAGCTCCTTCCAAAGCTTCCCTCCTTTCTGCCCCTAGGCAGAGCCTGATGCTGCCGCTCTGACTTCCAGGACTCCGCATCCTCTCCCTCCTTTCCTTGAACCCCTAAATTTTCTCCTGCATGTGTGTCAGATTATCTCCCTCTCTGTTCCCACTATCACTGTCTTACTTCAAAAACCCTTCTTATTTCTATTACAGTAGCTTTCCCTGGGCTGTCCTTTGTCTCCTGGCAGCTTCACCTACAGGAATTTATATCTATCTCTAATAAAATTATTTTCCAAGTGAGCTGTATTTTTTTTCCTTTTGGTACCAGGGATTGAACTCATGACTGAGCACTTGTCAGGCAGGCACTTATGCCGCTGAGCTGAGTCCCTGGCAAACTGTAAATTTTTCCACGTCCGGCGATTTGTTCTCTGATCGTGAACATACAAGGAAGAGAGTGTCTGTTCTTTGACTTTGTATCTTTCTGATACTAAATTTTTTTCTAGTGCACTTAAGGCATTCGTTTTATTAGAAATTGAATTAAACCTTCATTATTGAGTAGAGAAGGCCAAGGGATTCCAACTTGCCAGAATACCTTCAGCAGGGAGGCCAAGGAGTCCTGAGACTCACTCCATTAGCGTGTTAAGCTCTGTAGCAGCCTTTAGTTTCTGCTTGAGAGTCACATTTTCAATTAGAAAGAGTGAAGGTCGTTATATGGAATTCCAGATTTTCTGCTCACTCACTGAATCAGCTCTCAATATATTCAGGTGAAAGTAGATGAAAATTTGGCTCTACACAGCCTAACACCTTGGGTGTGTGTTTGTGTGTGCGTGTATGTGTTTTCACTGTTTGCAGGGTAGTCTGTGCAGAGCTGCCGCATGGATGGCCCCAGTGATCCAATGATAGTTTTCTACTCCTCACTCCTTTGCACATAAGCCTCTTTTTACCCTGTAATTGTCACTTGTCACAAAGTTGCTTCTGTAATCCAAGCGCATGACTGAGTACCAGGTAACAACAGGAAGGAAAACAGTGACTAGCTAGATTTAGGCTTAGGAAAGAAAATGTCTTTTTAGGATGTGTGCCTATATCTCATTGCCAGAATTGTGTTTTGTTTTTTTTTTAAAGATGAGTGTTTAAAAATGGTGCAATTACACACTTAGCCATTAAGTGTAGATATTGATTGAGCACTGTGTATTGCCTATAACTCAATAATCTTAAGATGAGATCTTTTTAAAGGATATCTGCAGTTATATGAAATCCACATTTAATTTATTTAGATTTAATTCTTTCATATTTAATGTGTATATAACATTTTAGTGTTAAAACATTTTGAAAAGGACAATAATCTTAAAATCACAATGCAAAATAAACAATTCTTCCTGACTGTTGTTGGCTGTATTTGGTTTTGTTTCCCTTTCAGTCTTAGCCAAACCCAGCTTTGTAATCCAGCCCCAGGACACGGAGGTTTTAATTGGCACCAGTGCAACTCTGGAATGTGTGGCCACAGGCCACCCTCCTCCACGCCTGACCTGGACAGGAGCAGTGGGGAGTTCCTGGACCCAGCCAGGCGCTCGGTAACTCCGAGTGGACTTCATTTGCAGAACATCCCCCTGGGGGATCGCGGTGGATTTACCTGTCCTGCCAGCAACAGCCGGGCTCTGCTCGAGCCACAGCAAACATAATTGTACAAGGTGTGGGAGCAGAAGGTCACGGTGGGAATGCTTTTCCTGCCACACTCAAAAAATTATTTTTCAAGTTAAAAGAAATATCACATATGTCAGGGGAAGATAGTTTTATTTGCCAAGTATTTTTGGACATAATAGAATTTTCAAGACCAATCTGCTTCAACATAAAAGTTGAATTTTTTTTCCACTTCAGCATTTATTCAAATGCCAGGACCAACCATTAGTAATAAAAGATGAAGTCATTAATCTGGCAACACACTGTCAAAAGATATTTGTGGTTTAGAGTATTTTACAGATAAAGGGAAGACACTCCCTCTGTGAAAGGGGAGAGGCATGACCTCAGTTCATAATCATTTACCAAGCTGTCTGTTCCACATGGCCTGAGAATATGCTGAGGGCTCTCAGCGATAATGACCCCATTCATAAACTATCCTACTTTCAGAAACTAAGTAAATGACAGGCATGGGTATGCAATTATTATATAAGGAAGATACGTTCTTCCGCTGTAATTTTGTTCTTAGTTGGAGGCTGTCTTCTACTTTCTGTTTCTCTGAGTGAGTGTGTGTGGGTGTGTGTGTAGCTGAATATATGTAAATGTCATGAGCAAGGCCATTAGTCCCCATAAGTCCTGTTCTATCCATGACTTTTTTTAAATCATCAGATAATAGTATAATAATTTACAGTTGTCCATTTAAAAGATCTCCTGCAACCATGGAATATTTGACTTAAGAAATTTGCTATTTTTGATTTACATAGGATGTTATTCATCAAAGCACCAGAGCCACAGAAACACTGAAGAAAGTCAGTCTAGCGTTATCTCTCTGGGCAGCCCAGTGTTGACGGAAGCTCAGCACAGCGAGTCCCTGTTACTTAAGCACAGGACTTTCTCCTGCCTAGGTTTCCTGCATCACCAAGTGGTTTCTGCATTGAATGGCTTGGTGCCAACATCTTCCACAGAGATAGAGGATCATTCTCTTGTTGCAATTAGCATGTCTGAGAAAATTTGTGTTTTTCTTCTAGAAATGCTAACATCATGAAAACACTTTGCTTGCTCTTAAAAGAAGGTGTAAAAATGAAAACTTTTCCAAAGTGTTTCGTAACTCCTAAGGGAAATTACTTTTTAAGGTCCCAAGCATTATTTTTAGACTTGTTTCAGTGTGCAGAGATTGAAAAATGCTTTAGAAGAAATAGTGCTTAGTTTCTGTTTTCCTTGCAGTTTTACATTTAACGCCTTAGATTTTTAGAAACCTAAGAGCCAACCGAAATTTGCATGTTAGCAGTGTTTATTTCACACTATGCTGGTCTGGAGCATTCCAGCTTCAGCACCTAGTTCCTACTTTTTCTGTTTGTCCATCTGCATCCACTGATGTTTAACTAAACCCTGGGAACATTTGTAGAAGGCTTGCTTCACACATCACAACACTCCTCATTTCTTTTTGCCAGTCAATTTACACTGAAATCACCATCTGCTTGTTTTTTGTCACTTGCAACTATCTACTTGTGTCACTTGTGGATCTGTGTATTGATATTCTTAATTAGTCTGGAGATGCTTCATTAATCATTCCATTCATTTTTAAAATAGACTTCTCTGTTTGCTTACTATATAGACTAAATATCTTAAGACGTACCCTTTTTGTACAGGGATGTACCAGGGCTTCTAGCAATTTTTCTTTAGTTCTTTTAAAGTTTGTTGAAGCCAAGGTCACAGTATCCACTGGTAACACTAGTTCCCTGGAGTGGTTGGGAAAATGATAAATACGTTACCAAAACAAAAAAAGCTAAATAGCTTCAATGAGAGGCATGAATCCTAGCCTGCAGTGTTTAGGTGAAAGCCTATTGTCTTTTATAGTGTAAACCAAGTGCTTTTTGTCAGCAGAATCATGGTCATGAATAGCCAGAAGGAAGGATTTTAATAGAGTAGCAAATGCGTCTCAGTGTTTGCTGCTTTAGTGTTGAAAGTGGGATTCACGGGTGACTTTTCCATGAAAGAGTCCTGACCGGCCCTCTTCCTTTCCTGCCTGATCCCTGCAGCCTCCTTACCTGCCTGTGCAATGGTTAGTTTTTAGGGTTTTTTTCTTTTCTTTTTCTGTCTCTCCTGTTACATAGAAATTTCTCAACATATTTAGCCAATGTTAGGAATCAATTTAAGCTCCACAGTTATGTAATGTTTTGCTTGCATGTAGAATATTAAGATTTCTTTCCTTTCCTGTTTGCCTCTTTTCCTCTTGCACACGTGACACAAGACTGCTTTTTCCCTCAACTTGGCAAACTGAAGTTTAATTATTAAAAAGTTGGAATCAAAACTTCCGATATTAGAACCTTGACTCAATGTCATTTAACTACCAACCTACTTTCATTACACAGCTTTTATTCTGTCATAAATGCGTGTTTTACTGCAGAAATATTTTTGTTCTTTTTAAATCATTTCTAGTAACTTAGGGAGTTAGTTTAATGTTCTGGAAAGAACATCAGGCTGGAGGTTAAGTGACCTAGATTCTTATACCATCCTTGTCACTTATTATCTGACTGAGAGGAATTCAATTCAGTTTCCTCCAGTCTGAGTCTGTTCACCTATGGAATAAGGACCTTGAGACTGCTGGTCTGTGGGATAGTTTTTGACCTGAGTTTTCTGGATGTCTATTACAAATACCTGGTACACACTCCTGAGGGTCATCAGGAATCTGTGTGACTTTGTAATCAATCATATATTGTAAGTATTTAGCCTAGCATCCTACTTTTTGAAGACTTTCAAAAAGCATCCTTGTTATCGGCACATAGTATGCAGCTTACAACAAATATCTTTTCCAAATAGTATTTACTTTTTATCATCTTTGTTGTTTTTGAAGATGCTGATGGAAACAAGGGGTGCTAGAAATTGTTCAAAGACCTAAAACACCAGAAATGATTTATTAAGTTACCTGCAAAGTTCTTTTGAAAATATCACTACTTATTGGAGATTACTGTGTTTTTCTTAAATGGCCATATTGATTTTTTTCCTAGTATTCAAAATGTCATGAGCAGAATCCCTTTCTGTAAATTATGTGTGAGGCTGTACATTTTGCACTGTTTATACAGAATCAAGTACAAAAGATCTGAATCTTGACTTGTGTGACCTTTACAAAAGTTGTAAGAACGTTAATACTAACGACCATGCATTTCTTTCTGAAATTTGTTTCAAATATTGTGTGTGCAAGCTGGGAGAAAATTATTTTGCTAGTCATTCAAATATAATTTGGGGTTTTGAATATGTGTATTTCACCTACCACGTAGAGGGAAGATTTAATCATATCAGCAGCTCTCATAAGCTTCTTATTGGGTGTTGTTTTTCAGCTTTGCAAACCAGGTGTACATATATTTTTGTAAGTAAGCACAAAAATACACAAAGAACTCCATGTTTTTAATAGTTTGAGGAATCAAACTTTGGAAACAAATTCTAATTTCACAGGATATTTTTTTCTCTTGGTTTTAAAAGTTACAAAATAACTTTCTTTCTGGATGCACTCTGTCTTTCTCTTTAGCTCCACTATGATTTACTGAAAGCCTCAGGGATCAAGCAGTCCTTGGGGGGACATGCTGTGGAATTTCTGTGTGAAGCAGAAGGGCATCCACATCCAGTAATTTTCTGGACAAAAGCAGGTATCAGCACATTGTCAAGTGATTGTGCGGAAGAATGAACACCTTCTTTTTGGGTGAGGAAGAGTACAAAAATGGTTTAAAGTAATTATGATGGATCCAACATGAACATAAACACATCATCCAAACAAGTAATCTTTATATATAACATGATCATAATTTTCCTGATACTTTCATTTTAGGTGCTAAAAATGTGGCTTTCTTGAAATCATCCTTTCTGATTTTAAAAGTAAAATTTTCAGAAATTTCCATGCTTTTACAATTCTTAAAAAATACCAAAAGCTAGTCTACAGACTATTTCAAATTTTTTTTAAAAAATTGCCTTTTAACTAGAATTTAAAAATCTTCCCTTAGTACAGAATGAATCATAATAAAAAGTGAGACAATAAGTGATTTCTCAGCTTGATAAAGCTCTCATAATAAAGCTGCTGTCCTGGAAAAAATTGGTAGTGGGACAAGGTGGGGGTGGGTACACCAGGGAGCTGGTACTGCCAGGGAGCCTGAGGACTAGAGACCAGGACTCACTATGGGCTGGATGACAGCTTGTTTAAGATTCTTCTGGACTTGGAAATTCTAAATTCTAAATACACACTTAGGTACTAGATTAAATTCAAAATATACCTGCATCCTAAATGTTATTTACTAAAATTTTTGGTGTAGTCTTTAAGAATCTGGTGAAGCACAATAATGTATAAGAAGTAGATCTGGGAGCCCCAACCAAGTTACATGTCTGTACTCCTCCATCCACTAGTGTGACTTTGGCCAAGGTATTTAACTGTTTTTAACCAGGGACCCCTTTTTGCTGTGCTGAAGATGATGCTATTTCCCACAACAGGATGATCTGAATGTGCGTGTATTTTCAAACATTAAGAACAGTAGCTGACACACTCTGTGCCCATTCAATAAAGGTTAGCTCTCATTTTCTCATTCACAACAAGCCACTGAGTAAGATACAAGTTTTCACTGAAATTGCTGAAAGTGACAACCCCATTTAATACTGACCACAAGCAATAATGTGATGAGAAGGATTCCGAGGCTTAGTGTATGCTCAAGGTCAGAAAGATGAGGATCTAAAGTCATGGGTGTGAAACTAATCAGCGGGGGTGTCACAAACGCATCATACTTAAAATGTTACCCAGTACTCTGAAAGTTCTGTCACTGTTTATATTCCAAATATATATACATGTGCAGATGTTACAGAGGTATTTGAAAATTGTGTTTAATAATCAGATCAGTTTTGAAATGTGAATTCTAGCTGAGGTTAGTGAGCAATTCATTAGGAAGCTACACTCTTCTGGTGGTAAGAGGAGGTACTTCCTAGGAGGAGAGTGGCAGAGGTTGGGGGAAGGTCAAGAGTGGTACTGGAGATGCAGAGATGCAATGATGGGAGGAGCCATCGTAGTGCAAAGATGACATCAAGGATGTCCTGAGAGATGGGTCTCCATCCTTAGCCATACATGCCACAACACTGTGTCCTATCTTTTCCTCTTTGCAGGAGGGCAAATCCCTTTGCAGGGTCTGCATACAGTTCCGTCTTCTGGGACTGAGAATTAATCACGCTGCACAGCACCATCAAGGTCAATTTGAATGTCAAGCAGTTAATCCATTGGGGGTGAAAAGAGTGTCTGTCCAGCTGACTGCGAAACCCAAAGGTAAGGAGTGCTGAGATTCATTTCCCATCCCGAAGAGACTGCTTCTTTTGTGTCATTAACACAACCAGCAGGGACCTCATTACTTAGCTTTTTAAACATTTGGTGTAGGATCTAGTTAAGAAATTGCTAATTGAATACTTTTTTCTAATCATTCTTTTGTATAACTACTCTTTTTTACTTAAAATTGAGCTTTTATTAATACTAATTACATTTATGGTTTCTTTAAAAGTGTCATTTCATGTTTACTTAATATAAGTGTTTTATTTTTGTGCAGTTAGTGGTTGAAGTCAAAGCCTCCCACACACTCTATGACCAAACTACACCCCAGCCTCTTACATGTTTTACAGTTAATTAATTAGCCTTTCCTGTGTAGACAGTCACACATAAAGATGTACTTTCTCATACTTCAGAAGCCTTTTACATTGATGGGCTTCTTTATGCTTAGCAATTTGGAGCACACAAGGCAAATACTTTCCCTGAGAGTCTGTACTTGAGCTTATGTAAATAGAGATTCTGAAGCCTGATTGTGTTATTTATCCAAAATTAATTGTCAACTGCCATATTAAAGAACAGAAAATTCAAGAAATGATTGTGTATTAGTCAGGTTTCCCATTGCTGAGACACAATGGCCAGAACCCAGAATTTAAGATTAAAAAAGTTTAAATTTGCTTATGCTTTCAGTCCCAGATTGGCTGGCTCCAAGGCAGAGACGTCATCATGAAAGGTCACGGTGAGCAAACCTACTCATTAGATAGTAACTAGAAAGAAAGCCAGGGGAACAGAGCAAGAAAGAATTCCAGAAACGAAGAGATGAGCCAAGCATAGAACCCCTGGCCATATCTCCATTCCCCACACAGACATGCACTGAAATATTCTCTACCCATCAATTCCTTGGGTGGGTCTCAAAGCCAATCAAGCTGGCATTGGTCCATGATGGCCACGGGTTATTATTATGCACTACTGAAGTTTGTTAGTTCCTGGCTTACAAGGTATGTAATGCCAATGCTTATTTTAAAAAGCTGATTACAGTAAAAGATATCATCTTAGTCAATTTCTCATTGCTGGGCAAATAACGACACCTGCAATTTAAAGGAGAAACAGTGTATTTTGGCTCATGGTTTTATTCCACAGTGGAGAGGCAGGGCAGGAAGCTTGTGGAAGCCAGGAAATAGAGACAGAAGTGAGGAGCCTGGGACAAGAACAGACCATTTTGGGTCACACCCTCCATGACTTCCTCTAGCCGGTCCCCCCTCCTTCCATTCAGCAGTGAACCTGTCAGTGGATTAATACAGGGATGACTGTAGGGCCCTTGTGTTCCAATCACCTTTCAAAGTATGAGATTTTGTGGGGACATTTTAGATCTAAAACATCACAGATACCATTAATCATCCTGAAAACACTTCCCCCATTTATCTCATTGCTCTTCAAACCCCTTTATTTCATTATTCTTGGCCCTTTCTGGAGGGGTTCTGAAAGTTTTCCTTTAAGTCTTTCACAGGTGTACTGTCGTGGCTGCCTCAATCGTCTAAATTGATTCAAAATATTTACCTCTCACGATTATTTTGACTTTGGTAAAAGCTAGAAGTCATACAGTGTCAGATCAGGTAAACAGGCATATGAAGAAGCAACTTAGTGCTTTTAGGAGTGTACCATTTTGTTGGATGGTACTTTGTTGGATGTTAGCATTCACTGAAATTTTGATTATGATTCATAAAAATGCTCATGGGACCAAAAGTATAACTCAGTGGTATAAGTGCCTGCCTACAAGTGCAAGGTCCTGAGTTTGATTCCCACGTACAAACAACAGTGACAACCACAAAGACAAACTCATGAAAAAGAGCTTCTAGAATTGTTTCAGAAAGAGACAGGAATGAGGGTCTAAGTGTGTTCAAGGGAGGGGAATTAATGACAATGTGTCTTCTCCTGTAATGAATTTTTTAAGTTTAAGCACTCACCATATATTTTGATCATACCTGGTATGTTGAAATCCTGGAACTGAGTTATAATATATGTATTCCCTACATGGCTTCTTACCCTCTTTATGTTTTGATCTAATTTCTCATTTTTGCATAAATTTTGTATAATTCATTTTGAGGTACTGAGTTAGATTTAGATACAGTATACATTTAGATAAAACTATATGACAAGTAGAAACAAATTCCTGCTCTACTCAACAATGACAGTGAGAGAAGAAATATTGGGGATACTGAGATGCATTCACAATGTTTAAACAGACACTAAAGACTACAAATGCTTCTCCATCTATGTAAGATCTATTATTGATTATTTTCTATTATTTTGTTAATGGAAATTGAGATCCAGTGAAAGGAGAAGGTATTATGGGGGCTGTGTAAATTGAAACTCAAGTGAGTGGATAAATTTAAAACACAATTATGGAAGAATGAACAAATATGAAATGTTCTTTGAAAGCCCATTTCTGACTAAGAAAAAATGCCCAAAACTAGTATGAAGATTGTTTCAAAGTGCTTTTGAATCAGTTTGCAACTAAAATCTCCAAGCCAGGATGACTTATATTTTTAAAATGAAGCTATAAAAGAACCAAAAAATAAAATTTAAGGCATAGATGCTAAAATGATTGGTCCTCCTTGTGCTCCATCGCCACATCCTTTTATCACTACTTTTGTCAGTCTAACCTCTATACAGAAGCTTCTACTCTTCCCAAGAGAATTTTCTCCACTCTCAGCATATCCTGAACTGTTCTCCTGGAAATTAGTATTAGATTATACAATTTAATATAAGAATTGACAGTTGTAGAGAGATTTCACCAATCCATAAAATACCATAGCTGAGAGTATTCAATTAGTAATAGTGTTGAATGTAGAAATAAAACAAGAAACAAATATTTTTAGAGACCAGAGACCCCTAGTGGATTGTGGAAAGGGTGTGGGCTGTGGTAGCCACAAGGCAGGAAGTAGCTGAAACAGCTGGGTGAATTACAGCATAAGCATGCTTGACCTCAAGCTATGGAACTATTGAAGATTGTGATCCGATCTAGTATTTAGAATATTAATGAAGTCAAGTAAACGGGCTAGGTTGGAATGGAGAAATCCTAAAAGTAAGAAATCACGATAGTCAAGAGATATGAGACCAAAACTAGGACCACAACAGTGGGAATGCAGAAGTGAATTAATTCCAGAAAAAGCATATGACAGATGGAACCATTTTATCTCTGAGACTGTGAGCAATATATATATATATATATATACACACACACACACACACACACACACATATATATATATATATATATATATATATATATATATATAGTTTATTTCTCTTCTAGTTCTTGAAGCAATTTAAATATGCCAGAGAGTGACAGGGTGATGATCAAGCCAAGAAAGACATGAGACCAGAAAGGAAAAAAAAATATATATCAGGACATTTCATTTTAAAAAATTAGTCAGAGAGGACTCCAAGAACATGATATTTTAGCAGAAACCTGAATAAAGTAAAATCTAACAGCTTAGTTGAAAGATTAATAGGGCTTACTCAAGTGATTACATGGCAAAACACACCATGAGTTAAGGCAGACGAGAGTGACGTCTTGAGAAGAGAAAGAATTGAAAATGTTACAAACAAGTAAAAAGAGCGAGCAGGGTGACCGTAACTTAGTGCGGAGTTGAGCGTGCCTTGGGGAGTCTGTGGCTGAGGGTAAAGAGGGATCATGCAAGATCAAAATAAATTCTGTGGTCTTGCCCAAGGACACAAAGCAAAGCTGATGCCCTGGTAAATGGGGCTGACGTGAGAACTCAGAACTGCTGTTTTCTACACACGGAATGTGTTGGAAGCAAACCAAGTGTCCACTTTTACGTTTAAAACAATTCTCCAGTGACGATGCTCAGTAGGTAATAGGGAACACACGTCTGGATCTGCAAGTAGAGGCTTGTTTAGAATGTCGACCCGGAGTCTGTACCCTTGCATTAAACTTACAGATTGGTGTTGGAGGAGCAGTTCTGGACCTGAGCCCAAAGGGACTCCCTGCTTTGGGTGTTGAAGGAAGCAGAAAATGTCGAGTACTTAGGAGACTGAGCAGTGGTCACAGATACGGAGAATTTGGGTCATGGCATGCAAGCCAAAAGAATGTGTAAGAGGCATCAATGGGGAGCTCTTCCTGGGAGTGGGAGAGCAAGTAGAAATTTCCAGAATGCTTTGTGAGGAGAAGGTTACCTGGGCAGTTAGCAAGAACCCGGGCAAAGAAGAGGTCAGGGCTGGCGAACCTGTGGTGTGTGTGCTGCAGCTGACATGCAGGGCCCTCTCTGTCAGCACAGGAACCCAGTCTTCCAAGCATCACCCCAGCACCCATCATCAGATAATGGGGTGTCAAATGCAAACTTTTACTCTCTGTAACAAACCTGTATCAATGGAAGGTCTGTTATTTGTGTTTTTCCTTTAGACTAAAAGATATTAATGGGTAACTCAGTTATTTTTTCTAAACTAAAATAACTAAACCACACTATTCAGGTTTAATTGTAGTTTTGGCATTTTGCAATAAAAAAGTAGGTTTTTTGGGTTGTGTTTTGGGTACTTAGTCACTAAAAGGTTCACCATCAGTGTTGTATGTAGTTAGGTGGGCCGCTGGCACCTTAAAGGAACAGAAACTCTGAGAGTTCTGATATCAAAATTTAAAAACTATTTTCCTTATACAAATACAATCTCTGCTGCCTAGCTAAGGTAATAAGTAAGTTGGAGTTATGATCAACCCAAAAGAAAACAATGGGGAGAGATGGGCTTATGCAAGGTCAGAATGTTGAGAGGTATGCACGGACAAATGGGAAGGTCACCTGAAAAAGCAAGTCTTGTACCCATGTTCTCTAGAGGAACAAAGAGAATCAGAGGTTTGGTGGCTCCAAAGGCCATCTGTGCTCCAGAGAGCCAGAACCCAGCAGCTGCTCTGTCCAAGAAGCTGAGAGCTGCTGCCCAAGAAGGATCAAGAATGCAGCACTCTCAAGGCTGAAGACCTGGGAGCTCCCCTAAAGAGTTGCTGGTATGAGTTTGTGTGGAAAGGCTAAAAAAACTGGAGATCGATGTCCTCAGGTGATGGCAGAGCAAAAGATGTACTCACCCGAGCAGAATGGAGATTTGCAAAAGCACAGGCTGACTTCTGTCTTTCTCTGTGTTCCATCCATGCTGCCAGCCTGTGGAATGGTGCCACCTGCACCAGGGTGGATCTAACAGTTTGCCGACCCATAGAGCAATCATCCCTAGACATTCCTCTAGCACACCCAGAGATTTGCCTCATTAACCTTCTGGGTATCCCTCAGTCCAGGCAAGTTGACAATCACAATTAACTGTCACCACAATATCCTGACTTCAGCATAATATAAATTGGGAAAATGAGCAAGATGGTGGGAGGGCTATTCAGAGACCTCTCCCTCAGTAAAGGAGGGGCTCTAGGAAGGCCCCTAGGAGGGCCCCTAGGAGGGCCTCTAGGAAGGCAGTAGTGCGATCCAGAGAGAACTCACAATGAAAGGCAATACACAGTCTTTTTGAGAAAGTGTGTTTCAGCTCAGGACTCTAAACTGTATGCCAAAGATCAGAATCAACCAAATCAATCAGATTGTTAGACACCCAAGGAAAAAAGCATCCCTATAAATATAAGAATGAAGAATAATAAATAAACAACTTTAAGGATTTGGATATTAGAATAAAAAGAGATGCTATAATGAGATTAGAAAATATATTGGTAAATAAAATTAATCATAAAAA